AATATATTAATTGTTAAAAAATTATATCTCATATCTATAAAAGAAAAAAAATTATAAATATATAAAATAAATTAATATAAATAAATTAAAATAAAAAATAAATAAAAATTACACTTTATAATTTCTGAATAAATTGGAAGAAATGCCAAATAAAGTGAAACATCTCCAATTGATGGATATGATTTAAATATTGCCATTATTCCATTCAAAAGAAATATTGAAAATAATGGATGATTTCTTTTAAATATAAAAATATATAAATATTAATAAATAAAAAAACATATACATATAAAAAAAAATTTTTAGCTTACCTAAATTTTATTGAAACTGGTATTATAAATATCAACACGTGTAATTGAAAAACTACCAAAAAGAAACTTCTAAATTGATCAAACATTTCAATAAAGAAATACCAAAATACTCCTATATTTGGTGTTAAATCTGATAATAAAAATCTTTAAATAAAATTATAAATTAATAAATAAAATATTTTAATAAAATAAAAAAGAAATTTGAAAATATCTTACATAACACCATAAGAAGCTTTTATAAAATCCCAAGAACCAATTAATAAATATGATAATATTAATAATCCACTTAAACATCCAATATAAAATACAATACATCCAAAAATCTCAATCTATTAAAAATAAATTATATTAAAATAAATCTTTAAATATAAATAAATATTATTAAATACATACTTTAATATTTTTTTCTTTTAATTTAACATGATTTATAAATATTAAAATTATTGGTACAATCAATATAAATGGATAAAAACTTAAATAAGTTGCCATTGCAATCCAAAACATTCCATAACTTTTGTTATCTACAGATATAAAGTTTAATAAATTAGTTTCAATGATATATATATATTAAAAGGTAATTTACCAACCTTTAAGTGAATAATAAGTTCCAAGAACTATTGATAAATTTGTAAATATAATTGTAGATTGTGAAAGACATGATGCAATTGTTAACGGATTAAATAAATATCTAAAAGCATAAACTTTTAATTGAGGATAATAAAAAATTAATTTATAAAGTTTAAATTTTGTTTTTTTATGGATACAATCCAGCAATAATCCATGGATCAATGTTTTTTGATACATTTTCTTTCAATTCAATTTCGAGTCTAGGAAAATTATTGTAAAGTTGCTGCTTTATTCTAGCTATATCTGTTAAAAAATAAGCTAAGATCAGATCTGTCAATATAAATGTTAATTTTGTAAAGATGCTTGGTAAATAACCAAGCATTTGAAAAAACACAAGTAATAAAGGTGCCTTGCAAAAAAAGAAATAATTTAATCAATTTTTTTTTTTGGTTATAATAAGGTTTAAAAATATTATTTAATTTGACTAACTTGATGAAAAGCTCCTCCATCATATGGTGGGACTCCATTTTCAAATAAATAAAGCCCTTCAGTGACTTTTTTTTTAATTGTTTAAAAATTATTAATTGAAGTTTAGGAAAATAAAAATAAACAATTTCATCAATGATCAAATTTACAGTACGTCGAATGAAACTCGTTATTGGAGTTATGATTTCTACTCGACTTCCTAAAGTTTCTGTAATATTTGAAAATTGAAAAAGAATAAGCCGAATCGTAAAAGCTGCTCCGAATATAAGGACACCTGTAAAATAGGTTTGTATTTTCATTTCTTAAATAAAAAAATTATCATCCAAATATAAGCGAAAGATTTGAATTTAATTTTACAATAAAAACATTTCTTAAAAACTCACTTTAGTTTTTGTGGAAAGAAAAAGCAGTCGATTGGTGATCATCAAAAGCGATTGGCTAGTTTTAAAAGGAATGGAAATTTTAAAATCGAGCGTGCAACACCATGGATGTTTTTCATTTATTTTCGCTTGGCGAAGCATTATTAAGTTTATACCACGGGATTCAAATTAACGCCGTGAATTTATTTTCCATCAGATATCTGCTTAATATCACAATGATAATATGATATAGGATTTCTAAAACATGATATAGGTAACACTCATTTGGATACAAAATTTGAATTAGATTCTTGAAGTATCTATGCGTATAACGTGATTCTACTACGCAAGATTAATAAAAAAAATTAAACCATTTCGTTGAAAGAAAAAACGAATGAATGCCATTCAAATTCTTTATTAATTTTAGAATTATTATTCACTTTTAACTCCAAGTCATGAATGGCAGCAGCAAATTGCTGCACAAAATTCAATGATTCTAATAATATCTCCAAAGGTATCAAAGATGCCATGTCACATGAATTACAAATTATTAAATATAAGTATTAAGTATTATTTTCCATTTTTAATTTTTTTTGTCTTGGTTATCTAAATACTTTTAAATATTAATAAATAAAATATATTACGATTTTCTCTTTTTGTTAGAAAATCGTTCTAATGCTTTGGGACGATCTTTATCTTCGCCATCATCTACAGTTCGCTTTTTACGTGCTTCTCTTTCTTGTTCAAGAAGTTTCTGAACCTTCAACTATTAACGAATTAACAAGAATACATTAATTACTTAAAATAAAATTTAAATTAATCATTGTAAATAACACAATATTATAATATTACCTTTTGCTCATCTATAACATTTTTTTGTTTCTTACGAAGGTATCTCTTCAATGATGAACTTTTACCACGCATTTTATTTTTGAGCACCAATTTACCTTTTCCAGCACGTTGTGCTTCCTATCGATTTTTAAAAAAAGTTATAGAATTTCATATACACGGGTAATAAACTATAAAAATTGTACCTGTTCTTCCTTAAGCTCCTTAGTTAGTAAGTTTTTGGAAGCTCTATCAACCTTTCCTATGAACGTAGGGTCCAACACTATCATCTCTGATTGAACCTATAAAAAGATCTTAATTATATTCTATTATACGATTAAGTTTACAACCTGTTAATATGTTATACCTTGTCAAGAAGACTGTGAACTTCAGCCTCCTGCCTTTGTTTATTGGACTGATAAGGATTTGCTTCCAAACTGTCAAGATTCGGTTCTCCAGAACCTATTAACGATAAATTTATATTAGAAATATTGCAAAAAGTCGGTTTTAAAATGTATTTTTTTTTTTACATACCGGGAATAATTAGACTTGATACTCCATCAGAATGTCCTAATCCAAGCACATCATCAAATGGACAAAAGTTTATATCCTTAATCTGTGTCCCAGCTTGGAGATGATTCATATAAGGTGATTGTTGTTTCTTAAGAAAAGCATCTTTCCAAACCTAAATGTAAAAGTATTGTTAGCGCTTGGTTTTAATAATCCTCAAAGTGTGTATTATATTATTTACAGTGACATGAGGGCCCCAGCCAACACCTAAAAGGCCTAATTGTGATATTGTTAGTGACGACGCTGGAGACCTTGTGTAATATTGTTGTAACGGTTTATATGTCCTTATATCCCACAATTTAAGTTGTCCGTCCAATCCTGATGTAGCCATATATCTACAAATATTAAGTTAAATTAACAAATTTTCATGGGTATCCTAAATAGAGAATTTAAATTCCTATGACTTACTTTCCAGTATGATCAACTGCGACAGCTTTGACTGGGCCTTTGTGTGTGAGCATTTTGACCAAAGGAGATGACATATTAGGTGACCATAACGTTACTGTTCCGTTAGAATGTCCTAGATGCATAATTGCATTCCACGGATTTTGAGCCATCACATCACAACATCCAAGTTTAGTTCTTAATTCTGCTACTAATTGCCCGGTTGAGGTATCTTGGTATTTGAGCCATCCAGAATTTCCCTAATATAATCAGTTTTTTTTTAATTAAAAAAATTATTGATTTGTTGAGGATTGACTTAAAACCTACCACAGAAACTAATAGGAAGTGATATGGCAAGAATTCAAGTTTATTGACTTCAATATGTTTTTTTAATCGATGAACTTCAAGTCCATTGTGATCGTATATGAACACATATTTTTTTTGAGCTACGGCAAAGAAAAGTTCGTTGTGTAGCCATCTATTTAAGTAAAAAAAAAAGTAGATGATGAATGAATTTTATATTCGTTATAAAGATAATAAAATAATACATACTTGACATCTCGCACTGTTTCTTTCACATATATTTCACAATTTAATTTATTTCCCATCCAGTCGAAACTTGATATATGTCCTTTCTGACCTCCAATGACAATATGTCTACATTAATAATTGCAAGTTAAATTTTTAAACAAACATTTCAAGTTCAGGATTAATAAATTATATGTACCTCCCACTACGTGTGTAATCCAATGAATATGGCCCAAAGGTTGTCAATTTCAAATCGAAAATCTTTGAACATCGATTTTTGAGAATATTATAAGACTTATAAAATATCAATTAAACAATCTTAACAATCAAACCTTCTTGGTAGAATCTACGTCCACATTATCTTTTAATTGTTTCTGTGTAATATTAAATGTTTTCTCGATTCCCTCAACTTCAAGGTATCTATTATTATTCGATCATTATTAATTATTCAAAAGAACGAATTCAACAAATTCTCTATATTCTACATACCCGGGCTCTTCAGTAAGTAAAAGTTCGGATCTTGCTGCTTTACTAGCAGCTTCTTTGGACACTTTTTCTATACGTTCGAGTGTTCCTTTTAATTTTTTGTCTTTTATTTTCTAGGAATAATATAGTATATTATTAATAACAAAGCGTATATTTTTAAATGTGGCATAATTTAACTACCTTGAGCTGCCTGGAGCCTAGCTTTCCTTCAGCTGGCCTTACATATTTTGGTAAGTTTTTAGCTACAATTTTATCTATAATGTCTAAATCTTTCATTTTATTCATGTTAAAAAGATTATCTTGAAATAAAAATTTTGAAGATCGTCGTTAAATTGATAACGGCCAATCAATAATTCTTTGTCGATCCGATCAAAACATTGAAATGACACGTGATATCAATAATATATAAGTTGAATAAAAATTTCTTTCTGAAAACGTTACTTTGATCTGAAAGTATCAAAAACATCAAAAATTTTGCAAAATGACTGAAGAACGACTTACTACTCTACCTCCACATGCTCCACCGACTGAGAGTGCAAGAATCGGTGCATATTATCCGACATTTCAAGATATGAAAGCTGATTCAATATCTATTTTGGTAGAGACTTATTGGAACAATAAAGATCCTAATAAGATAGTATGGGATTCGTCTATTGTTGAAAAAATCTATAATGAGGAATTGGAATCGAAAGGTTTTGAACCGAAAAAGCTAATGTTACTAGAACTTAGCCAGTATCTAGAAAAGGTAAGTTTTGTCAAATGTTCTATATCCTATTTATGTTTCCAAAAATAAAGAGATTAAATTTTTTTAAATGTAGTATCTATGGCCACATTATGATTCACAAGCTTCACTTGCCCATGTATTATCAATTGTATTGATGGTCAATGAAAAATTTCGTGAACGAGTAGCTGTTTGGGGTAAAATCATAATGACTTTCGTATGTTTAAATTAATATTAATGAATTAAATTCTGGTATTAATTATATTTTTAATGATACCAATAGATTGCTTTATGAAAAGTCCCAAACAATTTTCGGGTTTTTTCAACCGTGTTCTCGAACTTGATATTCCTCCACTAGCAAACACACTTTCTCTTAAAGTGAGAAAATATATAGTATTATTCTTAGTTCATGTTTTTCAGAGTATAGAGAATCAATTAATCAGAGGAGAATGTATGATGTAAGTTTTAGAGCTTTTTAAATCATCTTGGATTACCTTGAATAATTATAAATATTTATTGTTTTTTGCAGATTGGTCTCACTTGTAACATGGCATTGTTTTGGTACATCGTCATTGAGAGAGCAAGAATTCGCAAATAACAAAGATTTGAAAAAGATTTGGAATGTATTTGTGAAAAGATTCAAAAAAGCAGGTATTCTATAATCTTTGGTTGGTACTTTTGATAGATATTTATTTTTCGATTAATGTTATTTTACCATTATTATTTTCAATCTTCTAAATGAAATTAAATTTCTAGATGATTCACAAAAGAAAAAAATGATTTTTGAGAGAACGTGGCTAAGCAACTTCATGAAAGCATTTGTGGAAATTTTATATACAATACCCGAAACTGGAGAATGTACGAATGATTAATAATAAATTTTCCTTCATAATTATTTAAATAACATGATTTTTTGTATTATTTTTAGTAAATTTGGAAGTCTTAGCTTATCTTGAACGTTGTCTGGAATTTTTCATCGACCTTGAAGCTCAACTTCCAACAAGGCGTTATTTTAATAAATTATTAGAAGACCATCAGATATTGACACTTTGTAAATTTGCACCGATTATGAAACGTGATATGTCAAAGTTAGTAGATCCAAATTTTAAATGATCGAATTTCATTTTCATTTTATGTTTATTTGACTTTTCTTTGTATATGTCTATAGCGAACTTCTTTTCAAGCAACTTTTAGATATATTAAAATTCTACGCTGGATTTGAAATTGATGATCATACTGGTTTAGCGTTGACAGATAACCGAATGACAGAGCTACATTGTAAAAGGTTATCCGTTCTTCAGGTATATGTTTAAACTTTATACTCGAGGTTATATATTTGCAATTTATTTTAATCAAACAAAATTTTTTTTATAGCGAATCTCTTTTGAACATTTTAATAATACATTGAAATCATTGGCATTATCAAACTTTGCTTCTATTGAACGAAGGCTCGACTTACAAAGACATTTTGAAGCATTAACTCATGAAGAAATAATGAGATTATGTGAATTTTTAAATATTAGAACAGATAAATTGGTTGGTGAAGGACAATACGATAAAGAATTTTTGGTGGAGGTGTTAGTTAGTAAATTTGAAAAGAGAACGAGTCAAATTGACTTGATTAATTCAAAACCACTTTATCCAGATGAGGTTAGTTTTTTGTGATATAAAGTTAGCTAATTATGAATTATATATTTATTAATTAAAATATTTTTGTTAGAATGCTTTATTTGATGATGCCGTTGTACAAACTCAATTCTGGAATAATGAAGTGCCACTTGCACTACCAAAACTCAACTTACAATTTCTTACCATTCATGATTATTTGTTGAGGAACTTTAACTTGTTTCGATTGGAAACAACTTATGAAATTCGTCAAGATATCGAGGATGTGGTTAAACGGCTGGCACCGAGAATTTCTTATCTTTCGGGTAAAACTGATTTCACTGGCTGGGCTCGTATGGCAGTAGAAATAGAGTCATTTAAGTAAGAATTTAATTTGCAGTAATTAGACTTTTCTTAACGTTTACTCAATTAATATCAATTGCCTCTTTTTTTAATTAGTATTGTAGAGGTTGGTAAACCGAATATTGGTGAAAGTAAACCATCAATAGTCAAGGCCGATGTATGTTTTTATCATATCTACGAAATTATATATTATCATAAAATTATTTTATATAATTATTTTGATTTTACAGGTTACATTTAATATTGGTCGTTATACAGAATCTATTCGTAACGAATGGGATTCTTTGAAACAACATGACGTTTTGTTTTTATTAGCAATACAGGCTCATGATGATACTGCTGAAAAATATAAAGATGTTATGCCATTCAGGTTTGTTTAAATAATATTTTTTTTTTTTTTTTTGTAAAATAAATAATTCATAATTTTTTAATTTTTCAATCAAAAGACAACATTTTGGTCTAAAGTATGTTCGAGGTTGTGAAGTTAGCGACATTATTGGTGATGATGGTAATATTCATATTTTAATTTTTATTTATCTTAGTGATTTTTGAGGTAATTAATATTTTTAAATTTATAGGGAAGCCAATTGATGAAGTTGGAAAACCACGTATTGACGATAAAAAACCTAAAATTTCCGGAAATATGAGGACAGTTCGTGTGATTTTGGATCCGAATCAATATAAAGTATAATCTTTTTAAATTATTATTATATATAAAATTTCTACTAACTTAAATTTACTTTAGATTGATATGAATAGATTTTCAAGTGCCAAGGATGAAGATGTATATGAAACTTTTAATGTTTTAATGAGAAGGAAGCCAAAGGTAATAGATTTCCTTTCATTTATGTTTTATTATTATAACTTTAAAAAGTTTTTTATACGGCAATTAATTTTAGGAAAACAATTTCAAAGCTGTTCTTGAAACGATTCGTGATTTAATGCAAAGCGAATTGGTAGTTCCAGATTGGTTACATAACATATTTTTGGGTTATGGTCACCCCGGTAATGCTCATTATTCCATGATGCCAAATCGGCCAAAAGAAATCGATTTTCGAGATACTTTTTTAGATTACGATCATTTAATTGAGAGTTTTCCTGAAAAAGTAAGATAATATTTACATGTAAACTTGCTAGTTTCAGACTTTTTAAAAATAAAATTGACAACTTGTATTATCTATTTATTTAGAACGTTCTACCAGCAGAAGGTTTTAAAGCTCCCATTCCACCACCTTATATCCTACAATTTTCCGAGAATATTCAAATCTCAAAAAAGAGGAAAATTGATGATTCTGAAAACATAAACCCTTCTCAATCTGATGTAAGTCCAGATCAGATACTGGTCAAAACATATAGTTTACCAAATATGGGACCTTATCCATTTAATCAGCCTAAAAAAAATGTCATTAAATTTACTCCAGTACAAGGTATATTTTGTGTTTACAAATTATGTCATTATGCTATTAGTATGATTTATTCATTATATTTTCATTAGTGGAAGCCATTAAAGCAGGAACAAACCCCGGTCTTACTATGGTTGTCGGTCCACCAGGTACCGGTAAAACAGACGTAGCTGTACAGATTATTGCCAATCTATATCATAACTTTACTGATCAGCACACATTATTGGTTACACATAGTAACCAAGCTCTGAATCAGTTATTTGAGAAGATTATGGCTCTTGGTAATTATATACTTCCTTACATATCATACAGTATTATTTAAAAAAAAATTAATAAGTTTTGTCTTTGCAACTAAACTATCTATTAATATAGATGTTGATGAGAGGCATTTACTTAGATTGGGTCATGGTGAAGAAGAACTCAATACAGAATTGAGTTTTAGCAAATATGGCAGAGTCAATTCATTTTTGGTATTTCCCTTTTTTTTAATTTAAGTTTAATATGCGATTATATTAAAAACCATTTCTTGCCTGTAGGAAAAACGTCTATCGTTGCTTTCAGAAGTAGATCGTCTTGCCAAATCATTACAGATTGGTGGTGAATATGGATATACATGTGAAACTGCTGGATATTTTTATTTATATCATGTATTGTCGAAATGGGAGCCTTACATTGATAAATGTAGGCAAGGATTATTAAATAAGAATTTTGATGTAGAAAAAATAAGGAATGAGTTCCCTTTCACCGCATATTTTTATGATGCCCCTCAACCGCTATTTCCTGAAGATGCAAGTTATGAAGATACCTTGGAAATTGCCGAGGGGTGTTTTCGTCATATAGAAAAGGTTTTCACAGAACTTGAGGAGATTCGTGGATTCGAATTGCTTAGAACTAGTTATGATAGAGCTAATTATTTATTAACGAAGGAAGCTAAAATTATTGCCATGACTTGTACTCATGCCGCGTTAAAAGTATTTATATTTTTATGATAAAATATTACATCTTATTTAATATTAATTGTTCAATTTTTTACTTTAGCGGCGAGAATTGGTTTCTTTAGGATTTAAATATGATAACGTAGTAATGGAAGAAGCAGCACAAATTTTGGAAGTTGAAACATTCATTCCTTTGTTGTTACAAGAAACTGAAGATGGTCGAAGTAGATTAAAAAGAGTGATTATGATTGGTGATCATAATCAATTACCACCTGTAGTGAAAAACATGGCTTTTCAAAAGTTTGGAAACATGGAACAAAGTTTATTCACTAGATTCGTTAGACTTGGTGTTCCAACTATTGATCTAGACGCTCAGGGACGTGCTAGGCCTTCTATAGCGAAATTATATAATTGGCGTTACAAAAATTTGGGTGATTTGCCATCAGTAATTGAAAAGGATGAATATAAAAATGCTAACGCTGGTTTTATATACGATTACCAATTAATAAATGTCGGAGAATTTATGGGTAAAGGTGAAACCGAGCCTGTTCCATATTTCTACCAGGTAAGGATTATGATGAAAGTACGAATATTTATTTACACGTATTATATAATTACACTCAAAACATTTTATAGAATCTTGGAGAAGCAGAATATGTTGTTGCAGTATATCAATATATGCGATTGTTGGGGTAATTTATATATAATTTAAATCTTCTTACGGTTCTTTATTTCTATTATTTATCTAAGCTGTATATTCATTATATAGTTATCCGGCAGAAAAGATTACAATTCTGACAACTTATAACGGGCAAAAAGCCTTAATAAGGGACGTTTTAAGCCAACGATGTTCATGGAATCCTTTATTTGGTCGCCCGGCTAAAGTTACAACAGTTGATAAGTTTCAAGGACAACAAAATGATTGTAAATATAATATGTGTCGTTTAATTTGATGTTTAAGATCATTTTTGAATTTTGAATAATCTTATCATTCTTAGATATTCTTTTATCTCTGGTTCGTACGAAAACTGTCGGGCATATACGAGACGTTAGACGTCTTATAGTAGCTATGTCTCGTGCTAGATTGGGTCTTTACATATTTTGTCGCAGGTCTATATTCGAAAATTGTTATGAATTAGCACCTACATTTAATAAACTTTTAGAACGTCCTGATAAATTACAATTAAAAATTAATGAAATGTGGCCCTCAATTAGAAAGGTATTTGATCATTTTCATTCGTCTATTATTAATTTCTCTTACATTTAAAACCTTTTTTATTAATTGTTATGTAGTTCGATGATTATAATGATGTATATGCAATTGCCGATGTTACACATATTGGAAAATACGTATATCAAATGATGCAAGAACAATTAGCTTTTGCAAAAGAGCAAAAGGTTAAGATGGAAGCAGCGGAGGCAGCGGAAGCAACAGAAAATGAGGATGAAAATGAGAAAAATGAGGATGAAAATGAAGAAATGGATGCGGAGTAAATGATATATCTTATAAAAATAAAAAAAAGTTTTAAAATTAAGATTATAATTATTAATATCAAATAATTTTTAAAATTAAAAGTTGTCAATTGTTTACAAACATTTTATATAAAATTTATTATATTTTTTAATAATAAAAAATAAATATTAATTAATATACAGTCGGACTCTCTAAACTCACCGGACACTTAAAAGTTATAAAATTGACGGAAAAAATATTATAATTAAAGTTTTTATTTTATTTAAATCACTTTTACTATAATAAGTAAAGTTGTGCGTCATAACAAATTTGAAAGTTTTATAAATATCTTATGTGTCATAAAATTTATAATATATTTAATGCAAATTTTTGTGTTTTAATACAAATTTATGGAACATAGAATAGTTATCAATAAATTATTAACATATTATGTAACTTGTAACTTTTTTATTTTATTGAGTCAATCTCCATAAATATAAAGGTAATTAATCTAAAATTTCACAAATATATATTTTTAATACATTGAACAAGTTTACTTAATGATAAAAATAGATTACAACCAAAAAATTTCATATTTATTTAACCATTAAACTGCTATTACCAATGTTTCAAAAAAAAGTAAATTTTATATTTATTGTTACGCCAGTTCTTTAAAACGCTCAACTTAAATAAGCGTTATGTTTACGTGTGCAGAAGGTTTCCTTCGTAAAGAAGATAAAAAACTTAATTATAATTTATAAGTATAAGAAAAATATAATAATTCGTGTAGAATAAATGATTAACAAACAAAATTATAGTACTGCCTCTGTCAGCGCGTCTGTACTAAACAGTTTATTTATTAA